AGCGAGAAAAAAAAAAAAGGGCCCTCGCTTCCTACTTACATCAAACAACCGCGCCCCGGGTGCCAATCAGCCGCCGATATTTTACACAAATTCCAATGGTTTGAGGAGAAGAGAGCACAAACTCTCCTATCAAGGCGGTGCAGCGGGGCACCTGACCTCTTCTCAAGTCTTTCATTTGGAGTGGGCGAGGAATAAATCCCCAGGCAGTTGACGGCAGCTCGTACATTCTAAAGCTTTTTCTACATTACTGCAAAACATATCCGGTCTCATCTTCAAGACTATTTGCTTAGAACAAAGAGCAAATGGACAGTGTTAATCATATAATCCGAACGCTCCGATTCCAAGACAAGTGATGATGTGATGTTGCAGCTGAGTGAGGTCAATTTGGATAGAAAATCCCACTGACACTCTTCTTGTTTAAAGCAATAGTTCACTTCTTGTCAAAGGTTAAATGAGAAGGTCGATACCGCTCTCATATTTGTCCGTTCCATATACAGCTAGGTAAAATGGGCAAAAAACTAAATCTCAGGGACAATTCATGCACAGAAAGAGAACATGATTGAGACATCCTATTTTAGCACTTCAGACCTGAACCACCCACGAAGCTGTCACTGCTATACATATTCAAAAAACAGTACAGATAATAGACAGGCTGCCGGGCATCTACTTTAATGATCAGTTTCAGCACACATGGAGCAGGAAGGTTCGCGCACTGATTCATCTACTCTTCCTGGTTGTGTCTCTTGATATCAGTCAAGAGATATCAGAGCTGCTAGCCCGCGTTAGCAGCAGGATGTGTTCAGTAGCTTCACCTCTCATGGCCAGAGACAACACCTCATCATCCGAACACAAACTGAGAGTGTAGATCGGTGTGCAGAGGCTTTTACAGTCTGTCCCTGTGTGAGCTGTGGCAAATAGAGCAACTATTACTAATGCAGTCATCTGTCATCTATAGGAGGCAACCTCCGTGGCAGTGACAAACTGCAATTCCTCCAACAGCCACTGGAGGCTGGCTGCAGAAGTGAGTCTGTCCCAACTTCACAGCAGAAATAACTGTACAAGTGGTGAATGTTATATAACTCACCTGTATAAATTATATTAAGGCTTAAAGTTATGCATAATTAAGGCTATGGCCACTTTGAGTGACAGCTGGGTTGCTGTTTTCAGTATCCAGGCTTCATTTGGCCCGCTTCATCTCCACCCACACTCCATGTCTTTGCCCATTCTTGGGTGGGTGCCCATTCACGGTGACTACGTTCATTTTCAATAACACAGTCATCTATGTTTTCATCCATCCATTAGCTATACCCACCTATCCTAAAACAGAAATTTGAATTAATTGCATGTATATGATATATCACCCAGCCTTTGTTAAAAACCAATCAAGAGCCAAGAAACTTTAGCTTAGCTTAGCATAAAGACTGACAGCTAGCCTGTCACTGTCCTAGAGGCGACAAAATCCACTTCCTATTGAACCTCTAAAGCCCACTGTTAGACCTTTTTCACAGCGGACGTTTTGACTCGTCATAGTAGGAAAGGCACACGTTTTACTAATCACATGACCAGTGACTCTGTTGTGTTCAAGTGACCCAGTAAGTCATGACAGTGTGACACTGATGCACATACAGTACCAGGACCCTGAAGCTGAAGTGGCTAAATGGAATCATTTTATTAGTTACACCTGTGATTGTCAAAATGTCTTGTGTGAAAAAGGCCTGTTAACAACGTAAGTCTTGTTTGTTTAATCAGCACACAAACAGACTGATAGGCTGTAGAAACACTAATGATGCTGTGACTGTGTCTTGTTGGGACTCTATCACTGAGTATGTGCCCAGAAAATAGATTTTGATGCGTTTATGCTTTCTGCTTCTTCTACTGTGCTTTTCAGTGCCGCTGCTACTGTAACTGTGACTGGTTGATTTATTATTTGTAGGTCCAAAATCTGCTATGTTTCTGAAAAAAAAGAAAAGATTTAAAAAAAAAAAGAACTTCCACAAATGAGACCTGGGCACCCTCAAAGACACACTAATTCAAAGACCCCCCGCTGATGGTGTGTTGCATGTCACAGCTGTTCAGCACTAAGTCGTCCTGGTTGGCGAGGAGCAGCGGACCGTGAAGTCTCGGGGTCATTGCTTTGGATCAATGACTGGGTCACGTGACCCGTCGGAAAAAGGTGACATTGGCTGATCCGCCAGCGCTGGCCAGACAGTCGGCACCAGGTCGCTCAGTTGGAAGGGACCGGCCTGACCCGAGCCACGCGGCCCCGAGCTTTAAAGCTGATCGTTCATGGTGGAGGAGCCGCAGACGATGCTCCCAGCTAATTGGGTACGGCTGCCAGTTCCTCTCCGAGGGAAGTAGCTATTGGCTGCTAAAAAGTTGCTAGAAGTTGCCAGATGACATCATTATGTGATTTGCTGCATCCTGTTCTGTTCTGAGAGGCAGCAGTGGAGGAAGCTTCCACATCCCTCATTCAAGTGGAAGTACACTCATTCATGGCAACACACTGCATTGCAAGTCCTGCACTCAGAATCTTACATCAGAAGTAAAAGTACAAATGCTGCCACGTCCCATATTATATTTTACATTGACATAGTATGTTGTTTACAGTTTAGTTAGTTAGTTACATCCTGTGCTTCCCAACTAGGACTGCACAATTAATCTCAATGTCATCATAAACGCAATAAAACCAAGTGCAATATCCAAATCGCAATGAATGAAAATGAGGAGAGCAGCATTCTAATGGCACTGTGGTGCTGCAGAGGTTCCCTGGTCTACAAGTATTGTTCTCCACATATTTGTTTGCTGCAGAGCCCAAAAATGTCACATCATCGTGATTTGAATCAATTTTTTTTGGGTGAAAATTTCATTTTTGATGCAAACAACAATCGTTCTGTATCTGTCAAAATAATCGCAAACAATGATTTTACCACATCGTGCAGCCCTGTTCCCAGCCGGGAGGTCAGGCCCTTCCTAAAGGTCACCACATAAATCTGATAGGGTCGTGAGATGATTAATATGGAAGCAAAGACAAAAAGTTCTGCTGCACAAATTACGATGAATCTTTTTTTACTTTTGACTGAATCTTGCTTTCCTGTGAGATGTTGGATAGTTTTACCCCTTGGGGTCTTGAACGGTTATCAAATGAAACCATGTGAGACGTTTAGTGTTCAAATGTCTCTCTGGTGGGACTCATAGACATCTGAAACATGACCCAGCCAGACACTGCTTTCTGTAAACCAGCCAGTGGAGGGTATTTAAAAAGCTCGTCATATGTTTTTATATGTAAAATCATAATATGGAGAGCAGCTACTGACTATATCTGACAAACAGACGCAGTGCAATCTTTCCTTCTGAAATGTAGTGGAGTAGAAGTATAAAGTAGCATAATGTGGGAAAAGGCATTACTGTAAATGTACTTAGGTACTTTCCCCCACTGAGACACAAAAGTACTAGATTTGTGTGTATCCATATTTGTTCCTGCAGGTCTTATACACCGTAGGTAATGTGGTTTCCATGGAGTCTGAGTCTTGAGTGGCTGGATTGGAAGGAGAAACAGCAGTTGGAGTTTTAGTTTTACAAAACATTTGTTTAATTCCAAGTTGCTTTTTAAAGGCAGAGATATTGTAACCGGTTAAAGGGCAGCGAGTGGAGTGGAGCCACAGTTTTTCATGCGATATTAAACCAAAGGTCAGGGAACAGGTGGGAAAGGGAGGAAGCGAATGCGTTCTGTAACTAACAGAACACATCTGTCTGTCCATACAGCTGCTCTCTGACGTTCAACTCCTATTTTCACCATCACAGCAGCTCCACCTCTATGACATTACACTAAAACCTGAACCTCTGCTGCTCCACTGCATGCTTCCTGGTCCATCCGCAGTCCTGTTCCTGCCGTCCTCCATCCACTCCTTAACCCCCTCTCGCATTGTGCGCCTGTCTCGTAAACTGTCAGCACGTCCGATCCCTTTTGTTCCTGTCGTATTTCAGCAAATTAAAAGCATTAGCTGTGTGTCTGGCAGCAGGTGGAGGAGGACGGGGTCCGGGATCGGCCCTCCTGCCACTGTGTCACTGTATTTCATCATCAGAGGACTCGCATCATTCGCTTGAGCTGACATTAGTCTCAGTGCAGGAGGCCAAATCGATACATCTCTATTAAAATGTAGCTGACTTCCTGACAGCAGTTTGGTAGTTACACTGGTCCTGCCACACCTACCAATAACACCAAACCATTAGATGTGTTTCTACAGATCCTAGACCAGCATAAAATACTGCTTTTATAGTGAAGACTTGTGTTCCTGCCTCCACTGTAGACTCTGTAAGGCAGTTTGATCTCTGTCGACCTGACGGTGCTCAGGACTCCATGGATGCAAGGACTGATTTGGTTAAAAATAAAGTGAGCTGGATTTTTCTGCTGCAGCTCAATGAGAGGGATTAACAACTGGAAAACTGCAGTCACCAGAGCCAAAGAACTAATGACTGACTGCTTTTACGAAGGAGTTTGCCTTTCTAACAGTGCTCCTAGAAAGAGTATTAATCTGTACAGATCCCGCAGTAATGCAAAGTGAAAAAAATGAAAATAATTCTCCAGTTTTCTTTAAAAAAATAAGTATAAGGGAAACAAGTACAAGGCAGCACCGCACTGTATGTACAGCACTGACCGCATGGAAGCAGTGGCAATGCAGGCTGTCTGTCTGTTAGTGGAAGAAAGTGCAATTTATTCACCTGTTTTAAGAAATCTATTTCAGTCACAGATAAATATGTATCCCCCCCCCACCTCCAGAGAGCGCGCACTGACTGACAGTTGAGGCCTAATGCTCCTCTTTTGCGGTAATTGTTGGAGTCCTGATTGGATATTGACGCGGTGCTGATGGTCTCTAAATAAATAAAACACTTGCTGTGGCTGAGTGTTCCCGACTGTGGGGAAACTCTCTGCAGCCCCCGAAAGAGGGCAGATAAATGGCCGTCGGGGTTGGGGTTGGGGGGGTCGCCTGAACGGCTCTTACCTGTAATTGTCCCACTCCCTTCCCGCACCTTAACGCCCGTTCAAAGCATCGGCGGGGCTGCTGCTACAATCCAGTGGTGTGTCTGTGGTGTGGAGACATTTGCGTCCTGGGCTTGAGGAAAAGAAAACCGGGAGTGCTGGGCTTTTTTTGCGCCCCCCCCCCCTCCTTCAGATAATATCAAACAGCTTTAACAGAATCAGACACGATTATTGTTCTTCTGAGGCGGCAGCGTGGGCTCCTCATCCGCCACACAGCCGAGATTCTCCCGCATCCGAACCTCCCCTGTCCCTTTTTATTCCGAGAGAGTCCAGAAAACCCGGCAGCCCCGCTCAGACTCGGGAGGATAACGCGCTTTATCTGCGTCCCGTGATTCGGACGCGCTTGGGTGGGAGACAGTCCCCCAGAATGGGTCGGACCGCGGCACCCTATAATGTAACAGACGCAATCTTCATTCAACAGAGGGCATCGAATCCGCTGATCAAATCACTTCTCAGCCTCCAGTCTTGTGCTCCGACGCCCTACTCATCGGCGTCTCTCCTCAAGTCTGACCAGCGCAGCTCTGCGCGCACTAACTTTTGTGGAGACTTCCGGAGCGGCACAGCGCACCGCCCGCTAACTCTTGTGCGCGTAACGCGTTAAGCATCTCAGCATTTACTCGCGCAGGACTTGGTCCATGCTATAGAGCTGACATCTTCATTTGAATCCTCAGTGGCATGATACCGAAGAAGCATGCGTTCTTTTATCGTCACAGAACCTCTATGTGAATACATTACATCGACCAACAAGATGTGAAACTGAATAGCTGTCAAACAAAAACTGCACGATCCATGCTGAGCCTTCATATAAGACGTTAATGATAAATTAAAGAACCACAACATCATAGG